AAGGGGGCCTCCTCTCTCAAGAATTTGGTGTTTTTTCGAAACCTTCGAAACTGAAGTAACCATACGGTTCAGTATCCCAAAGTGTCATCTTTCAGAATCCATCTTAGTTTGCCAAAAATTGAATGTTTTGGCAGGATTTTGAAAGAGATTTCTGAAAGCCCTAAAAATCACCTTGTTCTAAAGTTCACGTTTTAATTAAAATTTTTAAGATTGTCCGTTTTAACAGACATCTATGTTGAGCAGAGTGTTCTGATCAGAATGAGATATCCAACAGCTTTGTACGACTTTGTCTTGCAGAGTTATACTAGTTTTGCTAAAGGCGCTGAACTATAATTAGCCCTTGATGCATCTTACATTCAGTCAATATGCGGCATTTGCTGAGAGTCAGAAAAAGATTGCTTTTCGAGATCAGGCAATCTTCTCTTGTAAGCGTATAGAGATGTGGGTTATCATCCAATGTTTGTTTTTCAAGAATTTCAAAGCCTCGTGGAAAGCCAAATTAAGTGAGATAGCCCATTCCGGCTTATTTTCACGCAAAACAAAAAATTCATGATTCTCCGAAAATTGGCCAAAACTATTTCAAAATATCGATTTACACGCTGTTTTATGTCCTTAACCTGGTTCTGGACAGCCTGGTTCTGGACAACCTGGTTCTGGTTTTTTAGGAAAGCTTCTTAATAATCAAAGTATCTTCTATTGAGTTTAAAACGTGTGTTGAACTCTAGGGTATAGTGCATAAAACTGAGTATACTTGATATTCTGAAGTAGCTTTGAGTTTCCAGTCAAGTATGAATTTTTTGATGTTCAAAGGTTATTAATTTAGCATCACACGCATTCTGTTTTGAAATGGATAGTAATTGTTCTTCTTTACCACTCTTATTTGCAATGATGAAGTACTTATCTGTTTTTTCAGATATTTTTAGCCCATATTATCCAACAGCATTCGGCTAAGCAATGCTGATTTTACCATAATGAAATACAATAAAAACACAAATTGTTGATGAACCCACAGCTCTCGTTATTTTCTAAATATCAGTTGCTTCTATTAGCATGCGTTTCTTTAGCTAAGAATTTCGTAATAAAGAATTTTGTTTAACATTCCATTTTCCTTAGTTTCTGCTTACTTTTCAAAAAACGCGAACTGCTTTTAAATTAAATTTAAAACTAACCGGTTTCTATTATTTTAGAGTCCAACTAAATGCAATAAGGCCAAGTACATACGCACTACAGAATGTTTCAGTGAGATCTTAGTAAAACTTACTTGTAACAATATGGTTGATTCAAGAATCAGCAACATGGAAACACTAGTATTAAATGTTAAAGGAAACATGCTCACTAAAATGAAGTATCCTATCACAAGCAGTCGACGTGTAAACTAATCAGTATATTTGAAATTACTGTCGCTTATATATTGAAAAAATATGTAATTCCACTTTATTTCCTCTATATATAAAATTCACAACACAAACAAAACGTTGGTTTTTTCCAATATTGCTCATCAAGTTGACACTGAATAAGTCTGCTTACATTTTAAGTATATACACACTTTTGGTCGCCGATAGAGAAAGAAAAGCGAAAACATATTTTATTTTGTACTTCAATAGAAGAAAGATGACTCTTTTCGATGCTAAATTAGAAAGTATTGGGTTATTTCATTTTTTTTCTACTGTATTTAGGAGCAGAAAGAAAGAATTCACATAATAATCATATTCATAGATCCACACACGTACATTCGCTTGTACATGTACAATGTATTCAACGTATTCAACGTACATCGCTTGTAATGTATGCATGTGTGTGTGTGTGTGTGTAAAAGCAAACAACAGTAAAGTAAACAACTTATGAATAAGTAATTTTCTCTTCTCTACTGCACTTTATAAAATTAACTCATAACACTAGCAATTCGAACGCCAACTGTCGGTCTGTTTTGTGCAGCAAATTGCCTAAAAGGAAATCTTGCGTAAACAAAAAGCAAATCGAATAAGGGAGCATTTCAAAATTCATTACCCTCTTATTTCCTTCTTTACTGCTTTCCTTCCTTACTGTTTTTATCTTATTCTCATTTTCAATCGCATGTGCGATTAATGCACAACCAAAAAAGAGAAAAAGAGAAAAACAGTAACGAAGGAAAGCAGTAAAAGAGTAAAGAAGGAAAAACATAAAGGAATAAAGTAGAAAAGGAGTAAAAAAGTAAGTAAGAGAGTAAAGAATAACGATATGCTCTCTAAGCAGCTTCAAAGGAATTTTAAAAAAGGCGTAAAGGCCGTCGGTGATAAACCTTCTCCTGTACACAAAAATACGTAACATTTCTCTGACAGATCTCCTTAGCGAAAGTAACTATGATACGAACGAAATTAAGATATTTGAACCAAAACCTGGTTCATCGACGGAATACTCATTGCTACCAACAATGAATTAGAGCATAAATGCTCCGGAAGCCCACGGAGAAATTTTTTGAAGAAAAGCGCGCTTAACCGCGGTGTGAAACCCGCGCCTTTTGCCGGTTCAAATACACCGCGGGAATCACACCGTTTATTACGTTTTTACGCACCGGCCGAATTCGTGGTTTTGACCGGCAAAAAACAGATAAAAAATGCGGTTCTGGCATCGCGGTTTGCTGACAAACCGTACTGTCCAGTCAGATGGAGAACGCGGCATCATCGAACCGCAGTTTTGTTGACGGAAACCGCGGTCCCAAAATCATTAAAAAGCGTGGTGAAGACAAACAGAAGTTTAAATCATAAACATCGTAGTTTAAGAATCCGCTGAGTGGTACTGACAGAGCACGGTTTAGATCGAGTTTACCAAGATATACAAAGCCGGTTTCAGATACTGCGGTTCATTGTCACTAAATTGCATCCCTTTGAAACCGCTGTTTTCGGCGGTGGCACCACGGCACCTCGATTCGATCAAAATGCGACTTCTCAAAATCGTAGTTTTATATCTCGACAAATACGCTGTTGTCATCCGACAAGGAAGAAATGCACGCGGTCTTTACATTTTCTTTCTTTCTGCTTATTGCTGCGGTATTTTGTATTATAGTGGAGTGACGAGGCGGTGACTGATTATTCTTCACTTTCTTTGCCTCACTCTAATAAAAACAGTAGGAAAAGGAAAGAAAATGGTTCGAATGTGTATAGCTGTGCGCATGTGCTCGCTGTTCAGTATTTAACCAATTGTATTTCTTTCGTTTCGTCTTGTATTGATGCTAAAAACGATCAGTGAGATCATTTAAATAAAAAACATTGCAACTCAGTTGTGAAATTCCCATGAATGCAAATTAGAGTAGTCATGCATCATGTCTTAAGACATACGGCACTGAGAGAACAACAAACCAGCAGATAACGATCAGAATAAAGGTGAGATTTTTCTTCTTTGTGTTAGCACGTTCTGAACAAGATATTTTTATTTTAAACTATTTGAGAATCCCCTGTTAGAGTTCAGCAACACTTTGTTTCTACTTCAAAGGTTATCGACTTCAAGAATAGTTCGCGTTTTAAACAAACAGAGGAAATGATTGTTCTATCATAATCTTGAGAAGTCAGACAGATAGAAATCAGATACGTCCATGATTTGAAATAATCTACAGTTAATGCACCGATGGAATAACGGACTATTTAGAACAACGCTTTATATCTGTACCTTCGGTTTGTCTGGGACTAGAGACCCGTATTCGGGTCAAATTTGGGGCCTTCCTTGGGTCGACTAGTTGCACAGGGTGGATTTGCAGGTGATAATGTCGTGCCTGAGGAGAAAAGACTGAGCAAATTCAACGGCCGAATAACTTGTCCAACGTTTAATTTTGGCGCAGATATCAAGTCCGCCCTAGCTGTGTGAATCCGGGAAAAGTTCTTCGTATCTAAGAACGTTTGCCATGGCGTTCTCTACACAATGAACACCCACAAAGAACTCAAGATAATCAAGAACAAGAGCCAGTCGTTGCTGCTCGGTCATATACTTTGAGATGAAACTTCGATAGAGCAGGTTTAGCATCAATGTTAAATGCACCAAGGGGTAGATTAGCACAGCCGGAGCGCATAAGCACATATCGAATGAAGCCGATTTGATCGGGCGTGCCGGGAACAACTGTGACGGCTTTGAGATGCACCAACGGATGGCCAAGGA